AAGTTGAAAAGCTTTTCAAGTGACACATTTTTCAGTTAACAAACCAACTTTTCAGTTGAAAAACTAACTTTTCAGTTAACCAATCAATTTTTCAGTTAACAAATCAACTTTTCAGTTAACAAATCAATTTTTCAGTCAACAACCCAACTTTTTAGTTAAAATACCAACTTTTCAGTTGAAAAACTAACTTTTCCATCATCATCTGTTAGGAATGAATTTTTAGAATGAAATATATTTGAAATAAATAAAACTAAGAATTTGGTCGGGCAACAACCGCAGTGAAAATTCACCCTATTATAAGGTTGCTGTAATTTGTACAGCACACACACCAAATTTGCAAATTGCTCAATTGTTGTGCATGAGAGCATGAGAAAAACTAAAATTTTGTGAGTGAAGATGAAAACAGAAAAACTATCCTTCAAGGACAAATACCAAAACAATTTTAGAAATTCCAGAAATTTGGCAATGAAATAAGCCTTGGAGGTTTCCAGAAAAAGGGCATGTGAGCCAAAGTTTTTCCTGGTTCACACAAAGATGTATGAGGACAAGTTGTCTGAGAATTTGGATTCTTGAGTTTGTTATTGAGCATAACAAATCATACTTTACCGATTATTTTTGCAGCATCATCAAATACGTTCTGTTTTTCCCTTCTTGCTGGCAGATAATGCACAAGGCAGTGAATTGCAGGTTTCTACTTTCACATTCTCAATGATGGGCTTGTTGGGAATAAATCCCGACAAGGTAAGATTAGAATTTAGGATTAAGAGTTTGTAAAGTGAAGTTTTAAATAAAACACAAGAATTCGGTCGGGCTACGACCGGGGTGCAAAACACCCTATTTTAAAGTTGGTATATATCGAAACACACACAAAGATCTCGCGAAAATCTCGAAGAACGTTCGCTCTCGACTCGAAGATTCGGACTGCTGAAAAAAGATGGGTTTGGAAAACAGGAAAACTGTCCTCCAAGGACGAAAAACGGCAAACGGAAATTAGTAACAAAATACAGCCTTGAAGGCTGTAGAAGGACATCTGTGATGAATTGAAGCCTTGGAGGCTGTTTTAAATAAAACACAAGAATTCGGTCGGGCTACGACCGGGGTGCAAAACACCCTATTTTAAAGTTGGTATATATCGAAACACACACAAAGATCTCGCGAAAATCTCGAAGAACGTTCGCTCTCGACTCGAAGATTCGGACTGCCGCGAAAAAGATGGACTTGGAAAACAGGAAAACTGTCCTCCAAGGACGAAAAACGGCAAACGGAAATTAGTAACAAAATACAGCCTTGAAGGCTGTGGAAGGACATCTGTAATGAATTAAAGCCTTGAAGGCTGCTGACCATCTGTGGGAACCAAGGTTTTCCGAGATTCCCACACAGATACGAAATGAAAGACTAAATTCGTCGGGGAATTCGGGTTCTTCAAAGCTAGCGTATCGAATTTAATGTATCCGTTGAAATATTCGCGACAATGGAGACAAGTGTACCCTTGCCGAATCATACATGTCCTTTTGAAAATCATCGAAGTATATTTTTATTGCCTTTCCCTTTTTTGGGTCATTAGAATAATAACCAGAAGACCTCCAGAAGTTTGAGTTGTAAAGGTTTGAGGAAGAAAATCATGAAGTTGGGGAGGTCTACGACTTGACATTACATTGTTTTTGAAAGAATTCAGACGAAGGCTAGACAAAAAGTAAAACATGGGGAGATTGAAATTGCAAGGTACAACTCGAAGATGAAAATTTTGCATTATGAAAATATTTTATTGACTTGAAATTTAGTCTCATTGAAAATGTTTTCTATGTGATGAAATTAATCAAACAAACAAGATTTCTGGAGCTTCCAAAAGTTTGTGATCAATTATTGCGTGATAGCGGTAATTTTGAAAATTTGCAAGACCCTCTTCTTCAAAATTTTGAAGTTTTAATTTTAATTGAACTCCTCTTGGCTCACATCTGGCTTTTGCGAAGCTTTATTAAAATTTAAGAAAAATCGAAAATAGATTCGAACTTCTATTTTCCCTTCGTTTCAAGTTGTGTGAAATTTTTGTCAGGTCAGATATAGAGACGAATTCGCGATGTTGAGGGGCAATCACGAGTCCCGGCAAATTTCTGAAGTTTACGGGTTCTATGATGAGTGCTTGCGGAAATTCGGCGACGTGGACGTGTGGCGAATGTTTACAGACTTGTTTGACTACATTCCCATCAGCGGCTTGATTCGCGGGGAATTGTTGTGCATGCACGGCGGTTTAAGCCCAGAACTCAATACCATTGACGAGATTTGGGAATTGGATCGGATTCAGGTTCTTTCCTCTTATTTTTTTTTATCTTATTTCGTTTTTATTGTGGTTGTCATATTATATTTTAGTACAGTATTGTTTATGCGCAATACACAGGGTGGGGTATTAAAAAGTAGTGGGTCGCCCAACTGAGCGTCTGGTCAGCAACCGAGAGTTAAGCAAGTTCGCGTAAGGTCCTTGGAACCGGGAAGAAAACTTCGTTGGAAACAAATTAAAATTGAATTTTTGCTATTCCTCGACAAGAGCCTAAAAAAACAAGTAAATTTGACTGCTGTATTTACTTGAATGCTGTACCCCGTCCCCTCAAGTAACTGAGTTAGAGACGCACCTGGATTTGTATGGGTGAATCTTTGATAACATCCTATCCCAAGTAAGAAGCGCATTCTTCAGTGATTGGAACAGTGAAATATTTTTGAAATTAATTGCATCATCAGATTATGAATTTTAACTTGCATAGAACATAAACTACCGAAATTTAAGCAATTTTTATAACTGCCTAATGCATACAGTATCCTCATATTTCCTCTCAATTAAAAAACTTGCGCTTGATACTTAGAGTGAAATATCATTACAATTTACAACACAACAATTGATGCCCAGAAAATATATTTTTATGACAAAAAATGTTTCATGAAGAAATTCAAATTGCATTGTGGCTGTTGGACAGAGCAGTGATAACTAATATTTTGTTATAATACGTTGCTACAAAATTCTACTAGTGGAACCTCTCTTACAAAAACAAAAAACTCTACAAAAAGTGTTCGAGTCCCTTGAATTTATATTTCGATATACAGTAACTATCATTTTTATGGAAAAGAAAAAATAATATCATCATTGAATTATATTTTCAAGTGGGCTGGAACCTTGAATGTACTTCGTCTACAACAATTTTCTATGTATTGATCCCATATATAGGGCTTGTCCGCCCAAGAAATGGGCATTCCACTATAGTGGAATCTCTCTATAACAAAATTCGGGGGACTGGAAAAATTGTGAAGATCATTTTTCTGTATAAATTTCCACTGGTGGAATCCCCTTGGCTTGGGTAGACAGCCCCTATGTGTTACCAATACATAGTAAATTGTTGGAGAGAAACTACTGTACATTCAAGTCCACTTGAAAATCGAATTTAATGGTGATATTTGTTCTTCCATACAAATAATAGTACAGTACTGTAATATTAAAATAGAGAAATCTGAAACTAAATTTTGAAATTGGGAGAGAAGTTTCCGATTGAAACAATTTGAAAATGTGTGCCCAACTATAACGCGCGTCTTTAATTGTTTCTCCTTTTTTTGAAGAATGGTTCCAGTGGTATTTGGGTAAATGGATCATCATCAAGATGGATTAGGTGACAAGATTTTAGTAAGCTACTGTATCATGTTTCTCTGTTAGAAAACATTTTTCCCCAGGTCAAAATGACATCATTGTAATTATAGTCTGAAGCGAATCATGAGAACTGAAATTCAATTACAAAATGAAATGAATAGGAAGTTCCCCCTGCTGGTCCCATGTGTGACTTGCTGTGGTCCGACCCAGCGGATGAGGAGGGGTGGACAGTGTCATCTCGCGGAGCCGGCTGGTTATTCGGTCCGGACACCAGTCTCGCGTTCAACCACACCAACGGACTCAAAATGATTGCGCGCGGTCACCAAATGCTCATGGAGGGCTATGACGTGACACACGATGGACGAGTTGCGACTATTTTTTCGGCCCCGAATTACTGCTACCGATGCAATAATTTAGCGGGAATGATGCAGGTGGACGACAAACTCAACGTGTATTTCAAAGACTTCCGCGCTGCCCCGAGACGAGCTTCTTTCAGTTCCAAGAAACTGATGAACATGTTCTTGTGATATATTTTGCGCGGGAAAGGAAAAAAAGTGGGGATCGCATCGTGTCATCGTTATTCTGTTCAAATACTGTATATTGTTCGAAAAAGAATTGACCGTGGTGTGAGACCATGCATGCATGAGATACAGCAGTCCTTGAAAAGTGGAAGGTGTTTTATTAACTTACTGTATATGATCGATTCGATGTAAGAGAAGTGCACCGAATTTTCGGAATTTATCAGAGCCAATTCGTTTATTTTCTTCGTGCAAAATGCTGTATTGTATATAATCCATAATAGATGACAAATAACCCGTTCAAGTCGTTTTATCCAGTATTATCAGTTTTGCATGCAAATGCAAATGTGTCCATGTGTATGTCAGAAGATCAGCATGTTTGATCATATTATTTTCCTATAGATTCGGTAGGAACTTATCTGAACATTTCATGTTTGGCCAAAAATCTGAAAAAGTCCCCCAGAAAGCTTTTAAGTGTGTGTTTCTTTCCTTCACAATTCAGAATGTAACTGGTCGAAAAAATCTCAAATTTCTGCCCGTTTGGCATGTAAAGGAGTCCAAAACAGAAAACCGGCACAAAATACTGTATAGTACTGTATACTGGATCTGGAAGCAATTGATTGAAAAATCCATTGAAAATAAAAACAAATCTGGTATGTTTTGGAAAATAAATTTTTCCGTAACCACCGAATAAGGATGATCACATCACTCACATGATATAGTAAATTTAAGCAACAGCATCCACCTGCTGAATTTTCAGTGAATAGTATCATAAAATCAAAGTGGTATCAGGAAGAGTGTGCATATCTTGCAGAATTATCATGTTATGACAAGAGTTTTGGTGACATTATTGCACCTTATTCTCAAAGCAAGCTTTCAATTGAATCGAAATATTGCTTTGAAATATTTCGAATGAGGCCACTCTCCTATAATAATAATTTGTTAATAGTGTGAGCTACGCTTCTGCTGCAGTTCTTCGCATTTTCTTGTGCTTTTCGTCCTTTAAATGTTGTTCCTTCGACAGTATAGTTCTAAGTAACGGAACTTATTATTTCCTGGTAATCAACGCCTGAAGCAAAGTTTTCTCAGCTTCATTGAACGAGTTTTGCTGAGAAAATGAAACAAGACGAATGCCGTCAACCTCGTGAACATAACTTATGAGAATCTTCAAGGGATGAAATTCTGTGAACAACAGGTTTATACGGAGTGCTGTTCATACGGCGTCATTGGATGAGATAGTGCATGAAGCGAAAACTTGCGTCGCCGATTTATTCAATTTTAAATTACGAATAGACTTTTTTTATTTTCACCATGCCCACCCATCCATGCTTCTCGAACCGGATTTTTATTCAAGTTATCCACGCTCATCAGTATTCGAGAATTCATTCACGCTTGAAAGCTGATCTTCCGGTTTTACGTTTCTTCGGTGATTGTTCTATCGGTCCGTCGTGAAGCATTCTTCACTTTGTCGAGCGTGAGTGAGGGCTTTTCTGATCAAGCGTTTTTCGGTCGTAGACTTCGGTGTGTAGACTTTCTTCGGTGTACCAAATATTAAATGCGTAACGTGATGGTCTCCTTCGGTACGCTACTCTTTTCTTTGACGTTGATACTTGGCGTCAGCATTATGGGCAAGTTTTTATTTCTTCATCGTGTGTGCGGCTTTTCCTTGCGGACTTGACGGAGGCTTTTGTAACATATTACGCAGGAACTTCTTTGGAAGCAACGGAAGAGATACTTTTCGATACGAAGGGCATTCCTACTATGTCGGTTGGACGCTGGAATTTCACTGAGCGCGGCCAGAAGTATCCATGTCTCATGGCTCAGTTCGCTCTGACGATCACTGTACCTTACAACAATACAAATGGTGACGTAAGTTTTCATTTGTGGTTCAATCGATACTCTTATGGATCGTAAGGTTCCGTTGAATATTTAAAAAATAAGTGTGGTGTCCGCCAAGTTTTTCGCTCGCGCTTCACATTTGTGTGTTGGCATTGAGTAAGCTGGTGTTGACTTTTATTTTTATTATAAATCGGGCTGGGCCGCTAATGCTCGGAATAAAGCCTGGAACTGATCTGTGTCCGCTTTTGTAGTCTTTTTTGTCAAATTCCGTGTTTGGCTTTTGACAAATTACTGTGATCAATTCGCTAGATTTTTTCGGCGTGACTTCGCGCATCACGATCAAAGTTCTTGACCAGACTCTGTCAATGAATGCATTTATATTATTGGTGAACCAATACAGAGATTTTCTAGCTTCTTTTTCATCGATGGTTCAATCCATCGTACATTAAACTTCGTTTTTTTTACAGTGAATTACATTTAATTTCCTTCCAGATTATTTATTTCATCTGATTTTTTTGTTTTAGTGCTGGTAATTTTCAGACAAGAATTCATTGAAAACTGTACACGAAGACGGATCCAGAAACAAGAAAGACATAAAATTGTAATTGATGTTCTGGTTCTCGAATTGCTTCTTGAATAAGTGAACAGAATGCTTAGCTTGGAAGCAAGAGTTTATTTTCCCAATTAGTCTGTCAATTCCTTTCAAGGCACGATAAGTTACATTTTTTTCTCTTCCATTTGGGAATGAAATGATGGACAAAAGGCTTTCAGAAAATTCCAGTTATAGAGGTCTTCAATGCATTGTTCGTAAGTGAGTTCAGACAAGGATTAATAAAAAAAACTGTTGACTGCTCGAGTCTCTTTGACGCAAAATTAGACGAATCATGAATATTTAAGATTGGAAAAAAAATTGGAAAACGTTTGAAATTGTTTCTTGAACTTGTCTCCCCTAAATCCTCCCGATTAAGGTTTCAATCGCGGTCATCAAGGTCCCTCCAACAGCGAATGTGTCTGCGGACAGCACTTGCGGCAAACTGGTGCTCTCCTGGCCAATGATGAATGCCAGTACCAGCAGTACACCACTGTTCCGAACCCCGGATCAAGTCGAGATCGCCTTCAACAACACGTTTCGAGTGGACGCCAAGACCAACAACACCACTCCCATTTTCCAGCTTGCCAACATCTCCGCCGTGTTCGTCTACGATCAGGTTTTGTTCCCCAACGCCACCAAAATGACATCCCTGCGCCTGTTTGCGTCCGACTGGCAGCCGGGATTTCTTGAGGCGTCGCGGAACAAATCGTATGCTTGCGATGCTCAGGAAGTGGCTTTTGCTTCTGTCTCTGGTTCTGGTGCATTGTCCAACGCCAGCATCAGTAGTAGTAGGAATAGTAGCACCACGAACAACAACAGCAGCAGCGAGAATATAACTGTCTACGCGGATTTTGCCTTTGAGCTCTTGAGGGTGGAGCCATTTATGCAGGCTAATGAGTCGAAGGGAGAATTCAGTCCAGGTTTGTTATTATTTTCTTTTTATATATATATTCTTGTTATAATAATCTTGTTATTATTGAACAAGATTATTTTCCTACGAATAATTTTTGTGCAAATGCGATTCACTTGTAATAATATCTCGTCTACTTCTTTATTTCAGCTACTCATTGCTCTGAAGATCGCCGTCAGTCTTTAGAGACGAGGATGGTCCCGATTGTAGTTGCAAGTGCCCTGGGCACACTCGTCCTGGTAGTGATCATTGCTTTCCTCATCGGACGTAGACATTCTCGTCGTGATTACGGAACTGTTTCGAACTAGCGAAAGTTAATTGAAAAGGCGTTTCCTCATGTACTACACCGAATTTTAATGCGTGATGATGCTGTGATGTTCCTTGTTTTGTGGGTCGATCGGGCAGCTTGCGTTGAGCAAACTGTTCGCGGGTTGAAATAATTCTGGTTTGTACGTGCGTGTAGAATATCAATAAATCGAAGGTGTTCTATGGAAGGGATTTTTAATTCGCTTTTTTTTTTTAAACGAACTTCGCATGTACCAAAGCGGGCATCTGTTTAAAAAGCTGCAGAACATCAATAAGAAATACAATTCAGCACTGCAGTACCGTATTATTGTCTAAGAGAGGGAAGTGTGTGGGGTGGTGTAGTTTCTGGCTGGAGCAGAACTCTTGGTCAGCCAAACTCTAGGCCACTGCACCCCCTATATGCAGTCTCTGCACAGCTGCACTTGGTAAAAGGTCTTGCTGCATGCTCATAATGTATGATAGTTCACTAAAGATAACTAAATTATGAAATTACGATTTTGTTCTCTAGCCTGACGGCATGCAGCTGAAGCAGGATAGCTAACGCCAATTGCAGCTGGGGCCTGGAGTACTTTAAGACTGACGTGCAAGCTTCTGTTGTACAGGAAACTCAACAGCTAGCTTGTCTATAGTGATTTTTCCGCAGAAAAATTTTTCGAGGTCCCACAGGCATAGGAAACTCAACAATGAATTTTTGTTTGATCGTATATTTGGAGTCCACCTGTTGAAAAGCAAAAATGCTAGTACTGTGGATGTGTTTGATTGCACCATATCATTATACAATCCCTGCTTTCAATGTTGGAACCCATACCTTTCAAATCTTTGTCCTGTTTGTTTTTGGGATTTTCCCCCCAAGTTATCCACTTATCCTGAACATTTATCTAGTTTGGCAAGTGATCATTACTGCATTGTGCCCGGAACGTGATGAAAATTTTATTTTTAAAATGTAGCGACATCTATAAGTAAACATTGGTACTCTTGCTTTCATTGAAGTATCAGTTCAAATGAGCATCTTCAACAATACTCCTTAGAAAATCCCATTTAAAGCCGGCGCCATGTATTTAACTGTCATCCGAGGGTGGAGCATCATTACTGCGTAGTTCTTTTCCTGAATACTGTTCGTGATGAGATGTAAAATGAACACTTTTCTGAGTATTATAAGTATGCACCAGTATTTAGATTATTCAAAGTTGTACTCCTTCAACACTTTTAACTATAAAATTATGATAAATTATAGAGATTTTTGTATTTGATGTTATTGGGGCTTCATGTCTTGAATGGAGGTTATACGCAGTGATGCATTACTTACTTTTCACACTTCCATTTCCAATTTGGTTGCGCGCGTCGCGCTCGAACCATGACGTATCAGGCGGTTTTCAAGGGTTGTTCGAAGCGTTGTTTGGTGCATTGATGTCCGTGGAAGCTCTCCGACTTGGGATTGCCTTAAGCCTTACTTTGAATACTTCCAGACACGTGCATCATTAGCAACCGTATATTCATCCGATCTTGCGAGTGTTTGATCGTTCTCGTGTCGATCGAAGAGTGGTATTCGTGCGATGTCTCGCCATCGTGACAGTGATGTTCAATGTAAGGTGTACGTCGGGAATCTTACCCGGAATGCATCCGAGCATGAGATTGAAGACGCATTCTCGAAGTACGGACCGCTTCGAAACGTCTGGGTCGCCAGGAATCCTCCGGGCTTCGCGTTTGTGGAATTCGAAGATCCCAGAGATGCGGACGACGCCGTTCGAGCGTTAGACAATTCGTAAGTTCGGTTTGCATTGTTTAAGTCCATGAAGGAGCGAGATTATTTCACCGTTCTGTTTATCGGTCTCGCAGTCGTCTGTGCGGAACGAGAGTTCGTGTCGAATTTTCTTCTGGAAAATCCAGGCGGGGTGGTAGATTCGGCGGACGAGGAGGTCGAGATGGAGGCCGAGACGGCGGCCGTGAGAGGGATCGTGATCAAGATTTCCGCCCTCGTGGTAGTCCGGTGTACGGACGTTACAAGCGATCAAGGTTAGTTGGGGAGGAAATTTGTTAATTTTCGCACTATTCTTGTGAATCAACGGAAGTTTTACGGAACAAGTTTCTTGCAAAAGTTGAAGTATTGTTGCCTAAATCAAACATTGCAAATGAGCGTCTTTCTTCAGACGAGTAGATTTTGAATCATGAGGCTTTCATGTTGGCTCAGTGAGTGGAACCGGGAACTATGTTGAACCACAGTTCTGCGAGATCTTGTGGCTCATGGGTATTCCGAAATTCACAGCTCAGGTGGTCTGCATTCTTCTTGCTCTTCATTGACAAGAATTGCAACTCCTCCTGCAATTTTCGTCACGTCAGTTGTAAAGTGATGAATCCATGATGCATCTGTGAGGGTGGATAGAAACCCGCGATTCGGTCCCCGACGCAGTCGCCTGTAGGACGTAAACAACTTTAAAATCCTCGTCGGAGGCTCGTACCCAACATCGCCCAAATTTTTGCTCTTCTCCGAGAACCATCTGTTAGCGTTCATCGCCGTCACGAAAATTTGTCATCCATCTTCCGCCAACTCGCCTTCGAACCAGTCCACTCTTCGCGTCCACTGTTCCGCATCATCTCAACCGCCGTGCGGCTAAACGTTTTCAACTTTTGGTGAATGTCGGCCTTCTCCATGCTTTGTTGCCCTGCGTTACATGATAAGACCGCTCCTCTGATTTTTTATTGGTTCTTGTTTCTAATGCGATATTTTCTTGCGTTTCCTTGCGGGGAATTTTGCCGTTCGTCCACCAGGTCCAGATCGCCGAGGAGAGATTCAAAATCTTCGTCGCGCTCTCCCTCACCGAGACGAGGGTAAGTGTTCAAGTTTCAATGTTACCTTTTTGTGAGGAATGCAATTCTGATGAGGAAAATTGGATTGAAATGAAGTATTCTCTCTCAACTTCAAGTTACCGTCTACGATACATGAAACAGTTGAGCTAATCCAGTCATTTTTCCCATGGATACTTTCGCGCGTAGTGCAAGATTTTTTGTGTCGCGTGACTGGAGAAAATCATGAATTAAAAAAAAAGGAATGGATGCTGATTGATTGTCCCTGTAATTTATAGGTATGGATCGCGCCGTTCAGACTCTCCTGACCGTACCCGTCGTTAATCCGAGAGTGGGAACTTGCAGAATGTCTTGGCGTTGAAGACCCGATCATTCCCGAATGCACTTTTGTGAGATGCGATTGGAATCTATCTACCTTATCAGTATCGGTGACCTGTTCGGTGTTTATTCTGACCACGCTTTCGGTAGAAGCTTAGAAACGCATAAATTTATCTTCTCGTCTTTCGACTGTCCTCTTGACCCTAAATTTTCGATTGGAGTTCACTCTTCGTGAGGTTATAGCGTGTCGAACGTGAAGGAAAGCTTATCGCGTGGGTTGTTGTCAAAAGCTGTACGGTTTCGTTTGTTTGATGGATGGGCTTTGATGGAAGGAGTAGAGAAAATCCCCTTAAGAAGACTGAGGAGTTCATATTCTAAAAGAGCTTGTGGGATTCGCGATTCAATTTCTCCGCGTCGCTTTGAGTTTCAATTCTCATATTCCTCTGCCGTGGAATTTTTGAATATATTGTTTCTGTTCGTATATATGTGCTTGATTTATTACCACTACAGCACGAAACTGTCGTACTCAGGTGAAGAACTTCTTCCTCGCATTTTAATTTGTTTTGCTGTGAATCAGTAACAGGTGAAAAGTTGTTCCGCTGGTCGAATACATCGTTGAAGTGCCAAAATGAACACCAGCATGAACGAGGGTGGTTTTTCGCGCGATTTTGATGGTCCTGATAAAAGCGGCGGAGGTCGAACGCAGAACCTGGTTCACATGCACATCATGGATTATCTCAGCCAAGGTGATGACATCACCGTCGGTGGGCGCCCTGTTGATATGGTTAGTGGATTCATAAGACTTCGGTAGTGATCGAGCGTGTTAGCCCGAATCGCTGGTTGTAGCGAAGTTATTTCCGAAGTGTTTTTGTTTTACACGAACGAAGATTTTTCTTGACTACAACAAACATCCGCCGTGTTTCACGCGAAGTAAAAGTGACGCCAGTCAGGGACTAGTGGATGCAAATTACAACTTTCGAAAGTAGCCCCGTTTCCATATTGAATTCCGGAGAATCCACAATTTTTACCTTTTTAGGCGTGCGAACGAGTTCGTGCGTTTTTTGGCTTATCCCTCCAATTTTAATGTTTTTGTTGTACATGATCTGAAAATTTTTTCTTAGGGCTTTTCCATATCGAATAGGTTATTTTTCATTAGATTTACAGTATCACACAAATTGTTGAAGCTGCCACCTCAAAAAAGTTAGAAACAATATATTATCACGTGAAATTTGCTGTTTCGAAAACCTCCACCCGTCGTGGTTCAATTTTAACATTTTCTCAATTGCATATTTCTCAGATGGTCTTCGTCGGAAAGATTACTCAGATTGATCCCGGCACGGGCATGGTGGATTACGAGATCGAAGACAGGACAGGAAAAATGATGCTGAAATCCCTGGTGGATCCGAAAGATGAAGTTACTCCTGTCAATTTGTTCTCTTATGTTCGAGTTGTGTGCTCTCCAAAGAACATGACTGATAAGAAAGCAGCGCTTGTTCTCAAAATGTTTCCATTGCCTACGGATCAGAAAGAGGTTTGTTCATATCATTACTTTTCTACGAATGTACTTGTAGAGATGGTAATTTTTTAAAGTTTTGTCAAGCATGTGTTATAGCATTGATAGCCATTATTTACCGAATGGAGGAAACAGTTCCAATTGTCACTCACCAAGGTCATTGAAAGTGAAAGGAACTCTTTTGAAGAAAATTTCCCAGCTCTAACGGAAATTTTGGAACGAAAAATGGTTTTGAATTTGGTAATAATTACATTATGGATGAAGAATGTTTTAGTCGTTCTAAATTGATGCGAACAATTAGCTCCTATCCGAGAAAATCTTCGAATGAAGAGATGCCTGTTTTTTTGTAAACCCACGGCGCTTTGAGGGATTCTAACTAAGGAACGGAGTTTGAAAAACTGAATTTGAAGTGTTCAAATATTTTGTGTATTCGGTAGTTCCTTATTTCTCCTGAGGTTAAGCTTATACTGTAGCATCGTATTCTTCGTGTTCTAGTTGAAGTTGCACAGTCTCATGGTTCAGTATGACAAGTTGAGGATTTTGGAGTCTGACCAACGTACCGCAGAGCCGACGGGTGGCATGAATGGAGCTACGGATTATTCAGGGGACTCGATGGATATCATGCATGACAAGTCTCCGAAAGGCCAGGTTTTTAGAGTCCTCTTCGAGGCAGCGAAGCGCAACCCTGAAGTGGGTGCTGACTTGAAGGACATAGCTGTTACGCTGAAAGGAAAATTTTCCCTCGCCGAAATCAGGTTGGTTCTTTGCGGAAACGAAATTTGGAAGTGTGTCATGCGAAATTCTCTGTTGCTGTTTTGCAGGAATATTGTGATGAACCAACTGATGGTGGAAGGTCACGTTTATGGGACGTTCGATGATGACCATTACTCGATTCCTTGAAAGTACAGTAATTTGCCTTAACGCAATTGGATGGCTGTCATCCTATAAGTTTTTAAATTTGTACGTTGAATGAAGTGGCACTCGCGTAATTTTTGTGGAAGTTTGAATAAATGTCTGCGTCTCATTTCGATAGAATTTGTTTTATTTCTAATCCATTCTTTTCATTTCGTTGTCTCTATAGATCAGGATAAAAATGCCTTATCCTGATGCATGATATCCATCAGGATAAAAATGCAGTATGATCGAAATGAATACCATCAGTTTCCAATGCAAATTTATTTTTGATTGTCTGGAGTGTTCAAAGAAAAACATGACACTTCAGAAAATTGCGCATATAGTTTATGAATTGTATTTCCGACTGTAATTTTTAAATGATCATGGACCATCTGGTGATCTCAAGCACTCATGGAGGAAAATGTCTTTATGTGTTGGGGGGGAAAGTGCCTAAAGTCAGGATGTTCTTGAACTTATGGAAACAATGCGTCCTCTGAGTATGGTTATTTTACAGAAAAGATCTGCTGCTCCCTAATTTGGTCTTGAAGGCAGAATGGCCAGTTACAGCACCACACAAGATGAATTGCCTTATTTGCCTATTTTATTCCCGGAAGTCCTAAGCTATATTTGTGCATGGCAGGTTTTGTCCAGGAATCTACAGCACATTGTTTCCATTGTTCTGTGAAATTTCAGCACTACATTATTGTACGCACAAAAATCGTAGGAGTTGGTTAATGATAAAGCTATTCACGAATATCAGAAGGTATTGACCAAGCTGCCATAAAAAATGAAGAAGTAATCCCGAAGTTCAGAGATTTACCTTGTTCCCAAGAAATGTTCATGGGTGCTTATCACAGGTCCATGGCGAGATTGTTGTTGACCTTCATCTTCTATTCTTATGGTGTAGGGCCTTCGCTTTTCTTCCGCGATGCTGCCTGCGTTTTCAAAAGCAGCTCGCAGGGAAAAGTGTGAGGAGTAATCCATTTAATTGGGTAAATGTGAAGTATGTTTTCATCATAAATCTGGAAGTACAAACTATTAAAAAAGTACTGTACTGTACTACAGTACAGTGAAACCTTTTCATCACTTCTGCAACTCCACAGAATCTAGCTCCCCTGGCGGGAATGTCGGTTAACGCGACTCCATGGAATTCACTCATGTCCATTCGGAATTCACAGTTGCCCGCCAGTTGAGATTCGATTTCGTGGCTAAATGCGGAACCAGTGATGTCGGTAGCGCTTCGATCACCAACCTTCGTCTGTGATGGTGATTGATAACGTCATCACGTACGAAAATTTCAGACGTGTTATGAACAGTTCCAAGTGTGATCATCAAGCGTTTTATATCGTATTTCGTCCTATGATTTTCGGTATTCAAAACGGAATGAACCTTCGTTCTCTCAATTGATGGAACTGCGTTTGTAGCGGTTTGCATTTCTTTCCATCGTATCGCGAACCTGGGATACCCACTCGCAAAGGTAAGCGTTTTCTTACCATGCGGATAACTTGAATCCGAACCATCAGGACTAGAATGAATTCGATGCGTCGCAACTCGCGATGATGAACTGCTTTTGTAAGCCTTCTCTATTTGTCCGAATGACGAGATTATACAGATCATGACCGTTGCCTGGATGATTGGGTCGTCTTCGGGATCGATCGTGAGATTAAGACTTCGAGGAAATTTTTCTTAGAACCAGTATGGTATACGTATTCATCAACGTAATGATTCAAGTAGGTCATTTCAGCCGCGAAAGTTGCATTATATGTTTTCGGTATGCTCTTGTGTTTCTTTTAATTTACATGCATGTCCCTTGGCACTCCTCGAAAATGTTACGGGAACGATTGAAGTTATGGCAAGGCTGGCTTCCAACTCTATTGATACACCTAATCAGAATGACCTGAACCGAAATGATGGCAGGAGTGTTCTGTCACTTTTATCCTTGACTCCATTTGATCTTCCTCCAGGAATCTGTTGCTGTGCAACATATAACCCATACCTTCTGTTTGAGACGTGCATTCAGAAAATCCCCATGAAGTTGCATTGCGAAAGACGAATAGATATGTCAAACGACCGCTGAATGCTAAAATTCCGCTCAGCTTTAAAGTTTTTAAGCTATGACTGGAGAGGTCATTTCAGAAAATATTTTGCGTGGAGAAAATGAATTGCAAAATAATTGCCAATCATATAACGAAATCGTCTACGGTTGTTCATCTCTCATTTTTTTTTTTTATTCTGGCCGGAGGAAGAAACTCGCAAGAAAATGTAGCTTTTACGCTTTACTCCCGGGTATTCATTTTTCAAGAAGTTGATCAGAGAAAAACAAAAGCATTTAAAGACCAGTAAGCATTTCAAGACTGGATCCACTCTCTTTCGTATTTTTTAATCATGAAGGGTTCGACACGAGCACTTCTAACACCAGGAATGCTGCGTCCGGTAAATACAGAAGCTAACACTACGAACTAAAAACGCGTTTTCCATACAGAGCATACGCTGCATACCTGATGTGAGAACTGAAAGGCATTTTATCGATACACAGTGCAGTACTTCTGGATCAATGCAATATCCGAGCAAAGAATACTAGCTTGAAAGGCAGAACATTTTAAGAAGGAAAAATTATACATTTTCGTCGATCCGCTTGATTATGTGCTGTACTCCTGTACATTCCTAGGCCTAAACTCCATTAAGGTTTCGACCAATTGTATCCATTTTTCTTTAATGAAGTCGACGGGCTAATCTCGTATGAACTATTATACGCTATGGAGCCATTCCGTATGAGCATTCCGTTGTGTTGTGAAAATCTGCAGTGCGAACGATCCGCTGCGTCCTTGGATTTTACGCAGTGAAGGTGAAATGCAAGGCATTTCTCCTCGATGTAGGCTGTTCTGACAAGAAAGCTTACTCATTTTTATATTGATCTGCTCTTGTGAACAGTTGGAAAATAATTCGATTTCATTGCAATTTTTTTGCGCTCGTCGCGGAGGTCGTTGTAAGTGACGATTCATCTGTTTGAATATCCACGTCACATTTCCGAGATGCAATATTCTTATCGCGTTTTGTAGAATTGAAGGGAAAGTTGCTTCACGTGCATTTTCACCCCGTTGTGGATATTTGGATCTAAGTGTGATCGTAAGCGTCAGTTTTCCAGAATGGGCTTCTCTCGTTGACGGAAATTGAATAATCTAACGAATTGATATTTACATGAAAACTCTTCTCATGAATGCGTTCCTTAGCGCCGATGAAGTTGTCTTTCTGCTTGCTGCGGTTGGTTTTCCGCGTCATTGTATGGCATGGACTTGCGCCGTTTAGTTCAGGGGAAACTTTCCATGTCAACGTTTCATGTCTTGTTGAGGAAGTAACACAATTTTAAATTTGATAATGTAGAACTTATGTTTCATCAATTAAATTCAAATTTTCATCTATGATCAATATGGCGTGTTTTTCGAAACTGTAATGTAAAGGTGAACAATTTTTGGCCGTTTTCCTACGATTTCCGAGTGTTCTGCGATTTTCTCGATCATTGTGCAGGTACATTACCGCCTGAGCGGCGGTGCATATTTTTGGGTCTACGTTTTGCTCGTATTCATGACATAAGGTTTTGTTACGATAGAACGGGCATGGTTAGTTTGAGTCAAAGGTTTCAGACTCCTCTTGCTTCGAAGTTTTTGCCGAACATTTCTTTCGTGGAGACCTCTCAGGATTTTTTTCTATGATTGAGTCCATTCGCCCTCCCGTGAGTCCTATACTGAAGGTTTTTTTTTTGGAGTCCGTGAAGTTGAAAATTCCTCGATTTATGAGGGGCATTGTAATCCTTATCTTTTTTATTTGCGAGTCTCACTCGTTTGTTTCTTCCATATAATGTACCTCTCCCTTGTGCAGAGAGCAGTGGTTTCTGGAGCCTGTGAAAAATGCACTAAGCTTGGATCTTTTCAGGAAAGGGTTTACTTCGGTCAACCCCTGGATTTTTACGAGGAATATTTGCTACGCAAAAAAATATTTGAAATCGCCGAGTCATTGTTTTGCTTTTCTAGGCCATGATAGGTTTTTCTTCCAACTTTTCCAGGAAGTGGTGAACTTCCATTGTAGAAGTGAATTCTGTTCAGTGCAGCTATGGGAGCATAAAGCGCGTCCTTTGACAATCGGCAACGTTAGATAATCGGTTTCCTCAGTTGCTGGCTGATTTTCCCGAATGTCCCGATCTGACGGTAATGCGTGAAAATGCCCGGTGGGAAGTTCTCAAAACGAGTAGCCGGAATCATTATCCGGAGTCGGCGGACTATCATGAAGGACGGCTTCATCGTGAGTTCATCCGTATTTATTTCAACTTTATTGTAATTTTAGCCTGTTTTGGCATTCCTTAGTGTTGTGCCAATCATTTTGTTGAAGAGAGTTTGTTGAAATGTCGGAATGAAATTTTCTACTTTCTTCTTGACAATGAACCGTTCGGTACAGTTGAAATACGCGATGTACCATAGGAAGTGTGACTATACCGAAAATACGTTTTGTATGAATCCTTAACTGTTTTAGCTGACCACAATGAAACTACACGAGGTTTGTTGAACGTAACGAGACTTATGTGAACACCGATCTAACTTGAATTAACCTTACGAATTGAAGAGCACTCAACAACTGAAGAGAATCATCCTGTCTAATGCTAGTAAAAATCCAGAAATGAAGTGCTGAGACGGATGATGAAGCTGCAGTTCATCAGTGTGGAGTGATTTTGTGCATAGAGCATCTGCTGAAATTGAGCGGTATGAAACTGGAGTCAGAAGCAATAACTGATTTATCTTAGGCTCAAGTCAGAGTATGAATACAATTCTTTAGCGCTCTGGTGTCATAATGTCACGTACAGTACAGTATTGTCAACGCTGAGGTCGGCACGAACTGTACTGTAACATTGCCTCATGTCGCGCATGTGTTCTTCACAGATGTCCGGGATTGGAGAACCGAGCTTGTTCCACGCCTTGATCGTGATCTTTTTGGAATTTTTCGCATGGGGCTTATTAGTTTCACCGATGATCACAGTGAGTTATCCCATTCTGAATCTGAACTGTTCTATGCGTGTGCAGATTTGGTTTTAATGCTTTCCGGTTTCGAATGCCAGTTTATTGTAGAATTGGATTAATGTCATGAATGAAGAATGAAAATTTTTTGCGATTCTTTGTCGAGTTGCGTAAAAATCTTTTATGTACTGAACCCCTAATTATTCATACGAAATTAAATTGAGATACAGTTCGCCGGGTGGGCCCATCAGTAAATCAAATACTGTATCAGTGCTAATGAATAGTTCACTTCCGTTTACAGCTTCGTTTGTAACAAGTTCGTAATTTTTCCTCATAATACCGTACGTAGGTGTCGACTTAATTTTGTTGTACAGTAATTCGTTTTTTATTACGGTGATTTCGTTCAAGTTTAATTGCTTCCATATCAGGTTAGGAAATGAAATTTCTGCCTGAAAATATATTCTAAAATTCGAGAAACTGTTTGACCAGTTTTGCCCTATTCGCCCGAGTATGAAGTTTGTTGTCTTCATGGCATGATTGTAGGTGCTGAATGAGACGTTCCCGAAGCACATGTTTCTCATGAATGGAATCATTGTGGGCATCAAGGTCAGTAATTCAACTTGATGTACTTCTCTGGTTTTTTTTATTGATTTTATTGAAAAAATATCTTTCAAAAATTAATTTTTAATTTTCCAGGGCATTTTATCGTTTTTGAGCGCTCCTTTAATCGGCGCGCTCTCGGATGTTTGGGGACGTAAGCTTTTTTTGCTCCTGACGGTATCATTTACGTGCGCTCCGATACCATTGATCATGATCAACACCTGGTACGTTTCCTCTTCGTAATTGAACAAGTTTCTTTTCGGCTAACTGAATGGTTTCACTTTCAGGTGGTACTTCGCCATGATCTCTATTTCCGGCATACTCGCTGTAACCTTTTCCGTCGTGTTTGCTTACGTTGCCGACGTGACCGAGGAGCAGGAGCGCAGTTTTGCTTACGGGCTTGTGAGTTTTTCTTTCCCCTTAGAATTATCTGACGCTGGATTTGTCGGATTACTCATTTGTTTGTTGAAAAATAGCGCGTTGAACGACGTATTTCCAACGAAGCGAAAAGGAAAAAACTCCGAAAGCTTTCATATTTTGATTCCGCGAGCAGTACCTTTAAAGCGATTGATTTCCAGGCCTGTCGATACTTTCTAATGCGGAATAAACTTAATTTAATTTATGTTCGTTAATTTAAGTTTATTCCCTGAACTCCTTAACTTAATTTAATTTAAGACTGAGTTCAGGACCTGAACTCAGTCGTATATAAACTAATGGAACTTGACGTTGTTTACAAAACCGGAAATCCAAGTCATACCAAACCGAACTGCATGAGTATCCCAGCCTAATCTTCGCCTCTTGTATGTGGTTGGAACGACAGATAACCATATACGCAGAATAACTAGGTCTGCTGGGCGTAGCTTGAAAAGCTATTTTTGGACTAAGTATTTTGCAATTGCTGGAGAAAATGCGCGACACCAGATAATATTGCGTGTCTTGTTTTGTTCACATTACTGAATTGCTTGATTTGGTCGATTTTTAAAATTTCAATATACAGTACGCCCTATTTGAGATACAAGTTTATTCAAAATTTCTTACCAGATTGATGAGGAGTGAATTGAATGAATTTGCGGAGTACCTGTTCTGAAATTTAAATTTGAACGCTATAACAGCGGCTTAACTTTCTACGAATTTTTTTTACCCAATTGAAGAAAGGCGGATGATTGGATTTTTTCTGAGTCTTGCGTTCACGTTTTAAAATGTTTTGTTCCTTTACGTTCTTATTTTCCTAACTCAAAATAATTGTTATCTGGTTCGTGATTGATTTTAATTTTTTTTAGTGTAAAAGCTGCAGCTTTAGACCTGAAGGATATACTGTATACAGTATGGACTAGACATTTGCACTTGAATCAGTCTGGCAATGAAAGTAATTTGGAGTGAGTGTGACGTCACTCGTGTTGAATATCATGTTGCAGGTATCTGCGACATTTGCTGCCAGTTTAGTGACGAGCCCGGGACTGGGGGCATTCTTGGGAAGAGTCTACGGGGACGCCTTTGTGGTGTGGTTGGCGTCAGCCATTTCGTTGCTTGACGTTCTCTTCATCCTGGTTGCAGTCCCGGAGTCGTTGCCTGAACGAGCCGGTTCTGTGCAGACCATCAGCTGGGAGCATGTAGATCCCTTTTTGGTACGTTTATTTATTCATTTTTCAAATTGTGAGCCGAGCTTGTTTCTGTATCATGTCCACATTGATCATGAATCTTTTGTAATTCACAGTCGTTGCGAAAGATTGGACAAGATAAGACTATCATGATGACATCGCTGGTGGTGTTTTTATCGTACCTTCCGGAAGCCGGACAGTATTCGTGCTTTTTTGTGTATTTGAGATTGGTGAGTTTTTGCGCATTTGATGCAAGTTTTGCCGGGAAATGTTCGGGATCAAGTGTTGATTGATTGAGTTGGCTTTTTGATCTCAGAAACGACTTTTAATCCGAACGATGCGTTTAATGTATTTTACTTTGATTAGTTTGTAGAATTTATTTGTGATGAGCATCACGCATGTTCAGGTTTTCTCCCGTTTAAAATGGAGTATTTTACTTGAGTTTTGCATTCTTAGTGCTATTCATAACAATCATTAAAATCTCTCGTACGATTCCTTGAACTTGAGGCACAACACCGCCGACTACTTGATTTTCTTTGTCATGGTATTGATGACACGCGGAGTGGCATTGTTGTTACTATGTTAGGCATATGTTATGTTAATATATCTTCTCTGGGTTTATTTCGGGTCTAGTCGAGGTTGCTGCGGTTCGGTAGATACTATAATTGAAAGTATTGAAACAACAGGTGCCAAAAAACAAGATTGGGCTTTAGTTACGTAAACCGCCTAATTCTTTTGGGAACTTCTTTGTGTAATGAATTAATTCCTATAAAGTACTCCTGTGGTTGAATATCATAAACTTATATGATTATATATTGACTTGATTTCGTTTCAGGTGATGGGATTCTCTCCCGAGAACGTGGCTCTGTTCATGGCGGTCGTAGGAATGCTTTCGGTTGCCGCGCAAACTGCGCTCTTGGGGACCCTGATGAGAGTCGTTGGTGCTAAACGGACCATAATCATTGGACTGGTGTTCGAAATGCTTGAATTGTTTTGGTACGGCTTTGGCTCACACTTCTGGTGAGTAGCCAATCGTGGCCTTCTTTTCTGAATAATTTTATTTTTTGGCCTGGAGTCTAGACATCGAGACGTGGTACCCCGTGCCAGGTATCATCCCTGCATTATATTCCAGAGATCCAAAAACGTAACGGGTTTTTGCTTCGCTGCTGAAGCTTTAAATGTGAAAAGATTTTTTTTTTACTCCTGTGAACACTTCACAATTCTTTCTACAAAAGCAGTACACGGCATGTGATGAAGTTTCGTCTGGTCCTGGTGTTGCATGGTTTCGAAAAAAAGTTTGTTTCTATCGGAAAATTTGAATATTTGTGGAGTTTTGAAAGAAGACTACTGTAATATGGACCTTTGAATACACTACTTGTGTGCAAAATACAGATTTTGAGACAGCGATTGAACGATACTCTCAATAGAATATTTTTTCCTCGTGCAAAGAAAATGGAGGGAATTTACCGTATCCTATGGATTAAGCATTTCTCAGGGCATTCAGGTGGACTCTCTCTACAACGAAGTTCGAGGGACCGAAAATTTTCGCTGTAGAGAACGCGTGCATGGCAAGAGAACCTTATGGGACAAAAAAAATCGTTGCTCAGAGAAAATGGTTGCAGACAAGATTATTGTTGAGAGATTATACTGGGAGTAAATTTCATTGTATCCTGACTGCTGGTACTCGGCAGTGAGATGCTCTCTGATGATTTCCCATGTTTTATGTCACATTATTTTCATTTTGTGGATTCTTCACGGTAGTTCTAGATCTTTTTACTGGTTAAAGTAGGTTAAACTCGTAGTTGAAATCGAGTCCCTATACTTACGAGGTATAGGGTTATATATCGAGGTTTTTCTTGTAAAACAGGATGATGTGGGCCGCCGGTTGTTTGGCGGCGATGTCGCAGATAACGTACCCGGCGATTTCGACGTTTGTTTCGACTCACATGGACGCGGACAAACAAGGTGTGGGGCAAGGAGTGATCACTGGGATCCGAGGGCTTTGCACGGGCCTGGGCCCCGCTTTGTATGGCTTTGTATTTTACTTGTTCCATGTGGATCTGAATGAGAACGAAGCCAAGCTGCACTCGCATGAATCTCACGCTGAGCGCAATGCCACTAGTGCCAGCGATCTTATCGACTTTCGAGTGAGTCACCTCTTCTCATTTCTCTGGCATCTATTATCTAGGCCTCTAGGGAAATGGTGACAAAGAAAGCACATTCACAGACGGATGCCGCGCAAAATGCGTTTTGTCTGTCATGGAAAATATTGATACGTTTCGTAAAATAAAAAGTAATAATTCAAATTCCATCAATGCAGGGAATTTTAGTGTGACTTGTTTTTTTTTTGGAGGTACTCGGTGAGCAATCAGACGTTTGCACAAAAATTCTCTGTTTGCGTGGCTTGATTCATTAGTTTAAAGTCAGTTTTGTGCTCAACTTTTTGGAGTATTAGATGATGGACGTAATTTTTACTTACCACCACTCCATTTGATAATTAGTGTACCTTTGATAATCACTAGTAAGAATTCCGCTTACCGAGATGAAATATTTCACGAGAGAGCTCCCCAACTTTCGTGAAGAAGTAATGTTTTATGCCCCCGCTTACATGTTGCATAGAATTGGATGAACTGTAGTAGAATATTTGAAGAATTAAAAAAAAAAACTAGTTCGCATTTTGCAGATCTAACGACCTTGTTTCAATGACAAAAGTGTTCTGATCTACGCAAGTTATGCGATAATTATTTTCAAACAAGAGGTTGCGCAGGAATGTGGATTGTTGAGCGAAAGGCTGATGAACGGGTAACAATTCTCACCAGATAATTAAGAGACTTCCTTCAAATATTGCTATTATCATCGGTTTGAAGGTTTCCGACTGTGAAACGTGTCTACTCAGAAAAGTTTATTTTCAAAGCTCTGGCAAAAAGTTCTCAACGATCCCATGTACATAAAAGGGGCGTCCAGACCTTGAGCTCGAACCTTGTCCGAGCCGGAAGCAGGGAACCAGTTTTCGAAGTCTAGGCTGGACAAAGAAGGAAAGAAAATCAATATAAATCAATATATGCGAGCTGTTGCTGTGCCAGGCTAGGTGATAATCGAATGAGGTCATTCGCAACATTCTCTGAACGCAATTTCGTCGTAACGCCGTAGCTCTTCGGATGACCGCGAAAAATGCCGTTTTTAACATCTCATTGAAAGACGCTTCTATAAGCTTCCCTTTCAAAATAAAAATTTTTAGAATCTCCCAGCGAAACTTTTCAATAAGAGTATCTTCGCCTTTGGGATGTCAGCATTTTTTCGGCGTTCAAATCTTGGATTAAACCTGCACAGGAGTATGTCGAAATTTATTAGGAATATATTGATTATGTTTGTAATGTAGTCAACGTGCCTGTAATCTTCAATTTTAAATTCAACCCAGAATTGACTGAACTTTCGCACACTACTGTAGCAGTGCACACACAGACATGGGGGAAAACTTGATTAAAAAAAGTCAGGATGCCGTTGTAGCTGTCCACATTGATAAAGTCGTAATTTTAATGGACGAGCTTCCAAAATGTATTATAGCATTAGGATTGCAAATGTCTCACATTGCGGTCATTTTTCGGACACACTGTGTACAAGTACTTATTTTCCAAGTCCTGTTGCTCTGGCTCATTCAAACTTCAATCTTTAAACCTAGTAGAAAGTGCTCCGTTCAACTTCATTAGTGGATTGAAAGGATGGATAACTTCGTTATTTTTTTCGCGTCGACGTATTGACCTGATTAGTTGATATGGAACTGATGTTTTTCTTCCTAAATGTGATGAATCTAGCGTGTGGCAAGTCAGGCATTGAAGCCATGATCAAATTAAAGTGTGTCTTACAGCCTTAGCCAACTTCTTTAGGGCCTGAGAACGCTAAAAATAAAAGCTTGGCCCATCACTTCCAGTCAAACCCCGTTAGGCCGCCCCCGATAAGGCGCCACACTCGGCAACCGCCTCTTAATTTTGAAAAATAAATCTTTATATCCTAGTGATGAAAGCATTGGAAATCCCATTAGAACGCCAATCGCCATCTGCCAAAATTAATGAAAACTCGAATGTGCTCCTGCCAATTACTTTTTGTCTTGGATAGCCCGCCAACAAGATTCGGGCTTCTGATTAAGAAAAAAGCACAAGCACAAAGATGGCGTGATTAATTTTTTGAAAACATTATCTATATTTAATTTACGCATCACATGGTTATTTTGATGGTTTTTAGAAGAATAAGAATTTTTATCCTATTATTGTATACAGTCCTGTACTTCATTTTCATAATAATTTTTGCTTTTTATAAACCCCAACCCCCTTCCAAACCGTCACAAATCTCGCAAACAAATGGTGGCGGATTATCGAGGTTTGACTGTACACTACAGTAATGGGTACAGTATACACAACAAGAAAGTTCGAACGAATGTTTTCTTCTACAGTATTTCTTTATGGTGAGAGGATTTTTTTCTTACATCTTTTTAGATCATCCCTGGACCTCCATTTGTGTTCGGGGCATTACTGGTCATTTGCGCTCTCGCTTTGGCAGCCTTTATCCCGGAGGAAGCGAGCCAATCGGGGAAATCTCCTGCTAAACATGGAGTTCATAGGCGCCAATCAGGTGACTACTGACCGGGGGTTCACTGCTCCAAGGGGAATTTTGGTAAACCGTCAAAACGTGGGCAGATTTTTTTCAGCATTTCCGTTTGTGCGTAGCGAAATTGTGAGGTAGGTGGTTGAATCAAAATGCGGTGTTCATGGTTACTGGGCTGTTCGTTCGAAGGAGCTTATTTGAGCGTGCTTCTGTCCTGCTGTTCGGTTCGGTTGGTAGAATTTGGGGAAAAAACTGAGTCGAGGCTTTCAAAATGGCGATCTATGCGGATTACAAATCTCGTTGCATGTACAGGGTGGACCAAGAAAAAGGGCGGAAGGATCTTTTAGAAGCTACACTATTAACCTAGGAAAGTGTCAAATCGTAGTTCATTCCATTGTGTTTCATGTACATCTAGTTTCATGATTTCAGTTACCGTATATCGATGTGGCTAACATGGGAATTCTCGTGACGGTTGTGTTACATTTTTTTTAAATTTTAAAATTAATCCGTAGTACTGTATCCACATTTTCCCAAGCTTAAGAAGTATGCAAAATTTGGCTTGGAAAATCAGTGCATTTTAAATCTTTTTGCAAATTTAAACTTGATGGCCTCTTGAAATCACATGCAGAACGATTCCTTTTGGCCTAACAATTTGAGGCAAGTCTCAATTTGCTTAAAATGTTTCCGGCCTTTTTTTTTTTTTTTTGCTTTATGACACAAATAGTTACAATAACACGAATGCTATGCAGTTACGGGTGATGCTTGTGAATATTCCTTCGAGTATAACTTGTGTTCATGTTCAAAGCCCTCGAGGCAATCGTATATTCATGGGCAATCATTTTTTAAGACTAAAAGAAAAGCTTTCATGATTGATTGACGTTTATTTTCTATAGTACTGTATTTTACTGAATTTAAATATGGTTCAGTACCTATTTAACATGAGGAGTATTTTGTTTCGTCAGTTATAGAACATGGCATCAATTCCTTTGAACAACTGCTTTCATGATTACCTTCCCCCTCCTCTTTCAACTCTTTGCCGCCCTGAATGAGTTACAGTATGTTTGTTAGTTTTCCATTTACTCAGTATTCGATAAAGAGGGAAAATTTCGAGTTGTTGAGAAAAACTTGTGTACCCGCGAAACGCTGTTTGAACTGTGAGGGCACGTTTAAGACAGGATCCGAATCTTATGGCTACTTTTTCCTTGTCCACCCTGGATCGTGTGTTCCCGTGATGAATGGAGTGTTCGCTTGCGATTTGTCTTGAGGAATTTCTGCTTGGTCTTGGAATGAACGTGTTTGTGTAAATTTTGCAACAGAACTGTCTCGGAAGAGGTCCTGTGATGACGACTTGCCACTGATGAACCCGAATCGACTCTGATGCTGGCTGGATCTTGCGCTTTGTGGAGTGAACTAACACCTCAGTCTCGTCTTTTTTTCTCAATTAAAGCTATCGGCGCGCAATGAATGCTTTTTTTGAGGAGTTTGTTCTAGTCCGCTTGTCATCCTGCTCGTTTCGCTGGCATGTTGACGCATTGGCGTGGAGCAGTGGGTGAAGTTGATGTTCATTAACTGGAGTCGTTTCTTCTGAGTTAATTTTTTTCTTTCGTTTTATTCGCGCGGAATTTATTCTCTCTGACGTCTGAGCAAGTTTTGACAGCGTAAAAGAAGGTCCAATCAAGCTTTTATTTATTTCCCCGTGCAGATGAGCGAGGTACTTGAATGAATTACGGTCCGTCACGTGAACGTACTGAATAAGGTTTGGCGGAAGGTGATGGAAGAGCAGTGCGTGGCTCTGGAAAATCTCGGGTTGTTCAGTTTCCATAGTCCAGTTCCTTTTACTTGGAATGGTTAACTGGAATCATTCTCTCAGTATTTCTTTCTTCCCCGGTGGAAAGCAAATGCGATTGTATCGGGAGTTTCTCAATTTCCGATAGAGTGCTATGCTGGTGGAGTCTCTATACACTCGTCAGTGATTTTTGTCTGGAGAGAATATGTACCAAATATTTTTCTGTCTCCGGCATACATCAAAATTTAAAATGAACTCTATGCTGTCTAGAAAGTCCAATTGTCTTACCGAATAAAATGACGGTTGAAGCTGCCCCTGAAGTCCTTCTAAATTCATGTGCCAATTTGTGTACTCGTATTCAAGGCGTCGGAATTGAGTTGCTCAAAATAGGTTTGGTTTGGTTGCTCATGGCATCAAGATCAGTTCAAGACGATTATGTGATGGGTTACTGTCGGTATTTTAGGTAGAAGATTGATCATGATTAGTTAGCTGAGAGGTTGTTCTAAAATTCTGTACTAGTATGTCGGATTATGCTAGTTAAATGTAAGTATGAATGATTCTAGGTGAGGTTAGCTAAGATTAGGCCAGTATAGGCTATGATTATGTTTTTCTACGTGGATTTTCATCATTCCAGCAGCAGTACAGTCTTAAAATATTTGCCAAAAAGGGGCAGCTTCAATAATTAATTACCTACGTTTCGACACATTTCCTCCGTACTTTATTCCCTATCCTTTTCTGGTGTGTGAAATGAAAATCCGGGTGTGTGTTTCAGTGACCTGATTTATTGTGAGCAGCGGTGTGGGTAATTTTGTGCAGTTTGAATGTGAATTTCTGTCAGTATAGTTACTTGGGTGAGGAGAAAACTATAATGGTGAGATCTCGGATCGACCCGTTTGACTTTTCTAACTTAGCCCCTAACGCTTTTGAGTTGCGGGCGGGATTTCTTTTTGCAAGACATATCAGATTTTTCCCCTCGCCCTGGTGTGTGAGTGATTGCGATAATTGAGTTTCTGTGGCCACCTTGTTTCCCCAAAAGAATTCTTTGTGTCGGAAGGGGCGCGATTTGTTTAATCAAGAATGAAAAGCGGATCTCTGACGAATTAGACGGTGGAGGTTCTAGTTTGGCGATTGTCGACATTTTTTTTTCTCGAGATGTTAGCACCATGATGAGCAGTAGGTAGGACGCGGTAGAGCGAGGTTTTTCCTCCTGTGATATTGTTGGTGTAAAGTTCGTTTGACTGGGAGTCGAAAAAGGCTCGATATTAGTCAAACAAGACTCGGAGGCTTTTGAAGAAAAATTTTTTTTGAAGTGGCATAGGGTATTGAATTTTCGCTGTGGGTTTTGTCATGACTATTTTAGACGATGCATTTCGGTTCGCTTTTGGTGTAGCTGTTCATGCCGAAGTTTCGCAAGAAATGCAATCTTTTCGACAGCCATGGAAACTGATGAATTTGATGCACTCCTCGAAGGTCCGTAGTTGTTGAATTGTATAGGCATATAGGGTACCCAAAATGCTACAGAGAGGTGTTGTATGTTCCAGATTCATTTTGCACTGTGTTGAACATAATAAATAAATTTTACGCCATGGTGAAACATCACTAGTGCATGCTGTGCAAGGTATACCTTGTGCGATCCAACTTCGTCATGCTGATCAGGCATGATCAGACTTGCATCATTTCAAGCGGCTGTAGCAACCACGATATTCCAGTCAAGAGAATTTTGAATCACCTTTCAAGAATCGGGCATTGAATTTTCATTTGAACAGCCTTTAGCCATCATAATTTCTGAAACCTGAAAGAATCCTTTTGATATTCGAATAAAACTTCATAGAGATGTGTGCGAAAAGTCCTACGCTTTGGGCAGCTCTTTGATATCACATCGTGTCTATCCGGTCGAGGCAACAAGGCGGCACACATGCTGATGCATGCGTCAATGCGTTAGTGTTGGCGATTGTCTTTGTACGGCCGAGAAACTGCGACGGATATCAGTTTGTATTTGCGTGTTGTGGATTTATAATGTGATCCTTCGATTTCCTTATTATTACTATCAAAGGTGCGCTTAAAACACAAGCTAGCGCTTTGCTATGTTCTTCGGCTCTACAGTTCAAATAATCTTGCTGTGCATTCTCGTGTTCTGAAACTGTTCGTAGAATTGAACGTACATGATCCTGCGAAATATCATATTTGTGATGCGCAGTTACATGTTTTCAAGGATTCTTTTCAGTATCTGTACTCTTGTAAGGAACAAGGTAATTGTTTGTGCAATGCATGACTATTGTTAGCCAATACGTACCTCATTCGACCACTCGTGTCGTGCTGGGAATAGCCAATACGTACCTCATTCGACCACTCGTGTCGTGCTGGGAAAATGGAAAAAATATCGAAGTATAGTATTCCGGGAACAGGGCATTTCATACATAGCATGTTTGTGTGGTATTTTTATTCCATCTTGAAAACCGTGCCGGAGCAGTTCTTCGAAGGTCCTAGTTCTGCAATTTAGCGAGTAAATTCAATGCGTTCTGAACTAATTGAAACATAGTCCAAGAATTTCCCGATTCACATTTTGTCCAGAAGATGGATTCTGATGCGAAGTTTATATTAATCAACGTTTTATGCGAATAAATATTCGCCTGGGAAAAGTCCAGTAAAAGAACGAGTATGATGCGATGTACGATAGCGCCTTCAGTTTAATTCAAGAGCGACGGAGTTATTATTTTGCAGTTCGTGACTAATTATCCAAGCGTCGAACTTTACGCGGATGCGTAAAAATCATGTTTTTTTGTATGTCGGAGTCAATATTTTATATTTTTATCCCATTCATATCTTCGTTCGTGCAATGTGGACGTTCGTGGTGATTGATGATCGTCGTGTCCAATAATCTAAACAATAAACAATTTTGTGCGTCACATCCCGAACACTATTCGAGATATATTTAATTCGTTCGGTATTTTATTGCATTGTCCTTAAATTCTTTGTTAATGAAGTTATATTGAATACGACCAACCAGTGACGGTTTTATTGTCCACACGGAAATCGATGGGATTCGACGCACTTTCTATTTCGGGGAACAGATTCGTTCTTCATGTGAGAACGAAAGCTGTCGGAGTTTCACACTCATTTCATTTTGAGTTGCGTAATCGCTTCTAATTGTTCATGCGTAATCCCGGATATTTTCGCATAATGGTGGAAAGATTGCCGTGATCAACATGTTGTTCGCGGTTTTTTTTCCCCGAGGTGAGCTTGCTTACGTGATTTACTCCAAGCGTAACATCTACTCAAGGGATTTGAACGAATCGAGAGGTGGGGTGAAAACATTTTTCTTTCATTTTAGTCCCACGTGTGAGCTTCTATGAGAACCGAATTGCCAAAAAAAAAAGAAACTCATAAGAAAACTTGACATTTTGGTTGACTGCTATGTTGCTCCATCAGTGACAGGAGGAAATTATTCCGATAAAAAGAAAAAAAAAAGACTCATAAGTGTTCGCGCAAAACGTTTTTCGCTTGCATTTATTGGATGGCTTTTCGGAAATAAAGTTACAAGAAAATTTAAACTATAGGAGTAATGCGCGTTTTCAAGTTGCATCCCTGATTTGAAAATGATTTCTTTCAATCTATTGCCGAGCCCGTTTAGTGAACAAAAACGAAACATTGATAGAGAGGGGATATATTTAATTAAAGTATAATTTAGGACCATTGGAAATTTTTTCCTCACGTAATTTTTTTTTTCGGATTATTTTGGTTTACGCGCTCTAATCCTGGCACCGTGTCAGCATGTTATGAATATCATGATATGCCTTTTTCGTGGAAATCCTCGGAAATGGCTTCTGTACATGTTGGCGCTTTGAGCGGCTGTTATGGAAATGTTCTCGGTCCTTCGATCAGATCTGGCACGAGTGGAACAAGATTACAATTTCTGGTTCTGACCACAAATAGGCCCTCGTTCTAGCTTGTTGTTATTCAACGGGATTCTGTCGCACAAAAACATAAAATAAGTGGACTCGCCTTCTTGTTTAGCGTAGCTTCTTTGAATTGATCATCAGTCGTGGTACTATTTTATTCATGAAAGTAAGTAAGTAAAAAAAATGTTCTTCTCGTGCTTCGTTTGCTCATCTTGGTGTAACAGTGAGAATCACTTGTGCGTCTTTGAATCATCCCTGGCACCTTCTCGGGTTACCGTATTTGTGATTTGATTGGAAACGTGATCTTCAACAGAACCGCGTCTGACTCGTGTTTGTCCGTGTGTTATTGCTTAGCCTTTCGTGAACCTAGACTTGCCCCCGAAGTGCATCCCTCTTTGGAAAATATGTGTTTTGTTATTCATTTTCGCCTTGAATTGCGTGAGGTGCCATGCGAAAAATACTTCTAAAAAATACTACTTCAGAATCCCATTTATTGTGCGTTACGCGCATTCCACCAACAAATCTTGACCGCCGCACTGATGCTGCTTTGCATTTCAAACTTTTTTCTCACCACTGTTGTCCGAACGCTTGACAAAAGCGGCCTTCAGTGTGCTCGTAAAGTCTTGGGTTGAGCTGGTTACTTTTATCATCTACTGAAGGTCAGAGAGCAGCGACAAATCGTGAATAAGAAGTGCGTTGCTCCGATCATCACGAAAGCGTCGAGTGCCGGAACAGCGAGTGCACAAACGAAGAAGTGTTTATTAAATTGTGCTAACACATAAAATGAAATGTAAGCAACAAGTGCGGTACCATCGATTATTGATAATTAAACCAGTGGATCCCAATGCTTTTGACTCCCGAACTCTTAAGAATAATTGTCCTTGATTTGGCTCATTTTTCCTATACCAATCACTATAATATGGCTCTGTTCTGAAGTAATTTGGTGTCATAATGGAGGACGATTCAAATTTCCTAAACGCCTATCATTAGACTCCTCGTGAGCCAAGAGCGAATCACTTTTCTTAGTTTTGAAATTATGCTGTGTAGAATATTTAACCTTGAATTACTGTACAATACTTCAAGTTCGTTGTACTCCGCGCCGATTATTGTGGGTCCTTCTGAAGCTATTTCTACAGGTTTTATGGTAAAATCATTAGTTGGCTTGGTAGGACGGCATACGTACTAGTGAACATTTATTTATCGTGTTTCTTATGTGTCAAGTTCATTCAATATTTGTTGATTTTGATAACTTGCAAGCCGCTGATCTAATCCACCCACCCAAATTCGATTTACTGTATTTGCCCTCGCTCATTGTGGTTTGTCGAAGGCTTGGCTCTCCAGATGCAAGGGCTTATCAGGGTACTTGAGCATTGTTACCAGAAGCAACTTTTTTAATTTTTTTTTTATCAATGATCATTCGTCATTTTTAATGCCTTGGCAAGATTTACGAGGGCAGAACAAACGTCAGTGGTGTAATTTTCCGTCATTGGTGTGACCTATTGACTGATGTCATAACAAAACTGACGTAAGGTCCATACTAATGACGCAATATCAGTGAATATGCAGAATGGGAATCTGATGCGGTCGGGTTTATGTTTTAGGAGTACGTTTTGACTTTTCTGACCTACTCGTGTCCCTAGAATCATTGCCATTTTTAGCTCCTGAAATCATTTTTACTGCAGCATCAACTCGAAGTTATTGCTAGAGTCTTTTTTATTATTCTCAGGGCAACTCTTATTTTTCTTCAGATAATTTCAATTGTTGTAGTCATTCTGAAATTTCAGATGGAGCTAGAGTTGAACCTCTCTCAAGTTGAATTTTAAGGGACCAGCGAAAAAGTTCAACTTGAGGAGGTTCTATGGTTAGGGATACAAGCAATTTTGTTTTGGGAAATATAGAAGAATTGCAGACAATTGTAAGTGGGGATATTCTGTGTGTTATAGTGCTTCTATAATGAGTGGACAGAATGCTGAAGTTTGGGGCAGGGGTTTATTTGCTAAATTATTCTTTCACTTCCTCTCAAAATACATCAAATTTCTTTTTTGTATTGCTTTTCTCTTCCCTCTGTCAATATAATAACCGGGAAAAGGCCCCAGAAATCCGAATTATGGAGATTTCAGAGGAAAAGCCTTTGTGCTAGAGAGGTTTTTAATGAATTGTTTCTTAAGGACTAAAGAGTGGGACTCTAAAAACAAATTGGACTTGCGCAGGTTCGAGTGTATTTCGAGGCTTTTGTATGATGAACAACTCACAGTAATTACTACTTTTGATAAATTTAATGTACAGTACTGTACTGGAGAAAATTTCCCGCGGACCGGCAGAAAACTTCTGCCGACCATGTTGTTGCAGACCACTGGACCAGTCCCTACTGAGTCCTTGCGCCAGGAAGTTTGAAAATGAGACATGAGTTGTAATGTCCTGGGTGGGATAGAAAAAAAATAACAAAACAAAGGAAAGCGTATAGCAAGAGGGATGTCCTAAAAAGTCAAGTGGTCGGCTGGGAGCGGATGAACGAGGAGAAAGAACTTGTCCATGTCGCAGTGG